TGAAGTCCTGAATGGATGATGTCATAGTCTGGAGAAGCAGGCTCTCTCGTCGAGCGTAGGACGCTTCGGCTTGTTGGAGCCAGCTTTTAAAGAAAGCCATGGGTTCGGACGCTGTCGGGTCTGAAGAAGCGAGGTTTTCGGCGCCGGTAGTTGCGGTGTGGTCCCCTTCGGGACTGGTAGGAGGTTCCATTGCCCGGGGAAGGCGTCGGCCCGAACGGAGCTCCACTTCTGACACCAGTGTTACAATTTCTGCTTTCCTTTTTAACTGGTTTAATCACCACATATGAGTATGGCTTTACAACCCGATTCGCAAGAAAGGACTGTCTCCGAAACTGCAGCGTAACTGGCAAGGACCTTTCATCGTCATCAAACGTCTCAGTGATGTGGTCTATCGCATACGTCGCAAGGATAGATCACGGGCCCTCGTGGTCCACCGCGACCGGCTGTGTTTGTATCAGGGACTTCTGTAGGACTTGCTTGGTCTTCAAAGGACGGGAGGGGGATAGTGTAGCGGAGACGCTGATTGCGGGGTGAACAAAAAACATAAAAGAGAAGCAACCGGCATGCAACGAAGGGAACGTTCGTCGTGCTCGTGCGTGTGCGCGAGGCAGTTGGAAGCCAGCCACCGAAGATGTCGGACCTCCCTGGGTGGTGATTAAACCAGTTAAAAAGGAAAGCAGAAATTGTAACAATATGCTACCGTGAATGGTGCGAAAAACTGCGAAGAGAAGCCGCGGGGTGAGTGAGCCATGAGGCTGTTCCAGCGGCCTCCGGAGTGGGTCTTACAAGAAGTGCCGCCGCCCCCCGGGAGTTGGGCGTGCCGTGCGCTGTTCACCGCCGTATATTCGGGTTAATTTGCGAATCACTACCAATAATACTCGTTTGCGCAAATAAAAAATATAATTAATTTGTAAAATGAGCACATAGAATAGTGCAGTGCTAGAGGTACAGCTCGCTGAACTCGTAACAAGCAGGGGTGTTCATGATATTGCGATTGTTTCGTTTTTGCCGGTGGTGGAATGCTTTGGTTTGATTATAAGTCGACCCCCCCACTGCAGATTTTGAAAAATTGAAAAAAGGGTCGACGTACATTCGTGTAAATACGGTATTTAGACTTTCTTTCCCTCCCGTATTCAACGCACCTCCAATTTTTGATCCGTGAGCCAGTTTTCTTTGGCCGCCAAGCGGTCAAGTCAAGCCAAGCCGCTCTCCTTATGGCCGCAAATGCGTAATTGCGGTAGTTCTGGAAGTGATCAACCGTGAAAACGAGTGTCGCGCACACTTGATGAAGCTTGAGTCGAGGAATTGCCGAGCCCCGGACATTCTTTGCCTATCGGATGCATTGATGTCAACAAACAAGCCGTCTTCTGTGGGTCTTTGCTCTCTTTCGGACAGTGAAATCGTGAAAGTGGTTAGGCCTAATTTCACATACTCCGGGGAAATGCGTTTATTTAATCTGTAACAGAACGGCACAGCGAGTACACGCTCGGCTGTAGGCTGAGAATGTCTGGTATTCTCTCCTCGAACGAAACTTGATCCGTGCGAGCGGGCTTCAAGGGTCGGGGGTGGTCGCGGATATACCTGAGCGTGCCTACCGGATACTAGCAATATATATCGCCTAAGAACGGTCGTGTTGGTTTGTTGCTTTTCGTGCTGAGTGAGCTTCGTAGGGTGCTTTTCCTTCGGCAAAAGGCACCTTGAAAGCGCCCTAAAAAGGTTTGCAATTTATAAAGCATGGTTATTGAGGGACGCCCCCGACCAGCCATGGGCACGCCTCCATCACTGGAGGTGTGCCACAGTACCTTGCCGTGTCATGTTGGTACTCTCACATAGCCCCGTCGAGTGTGCTTCTCGCCGAGCACCTGTGCAATGTGGGAAAGCAATGGGTATTGCTTCAGAATTGCACAGGTGCTCGGCAAGAAGTGCACTTGACTGACCCGCCTCAATCGACGCTTCGAAATATAGGGGTGTCGCAGTTTACTTCGTAGCGAATATCGAATAGCCTATCACTCGAACATTCATTCGCTAATATTTTTAGTTCGTTGAACCAACCATTAGCGTTTCGGTGGACTTGAAATGACTCTCGTGATGCGAATATTGCGCTCAAAAGTTGTTGTTTTCTTTTTGAGGAAGTTTTTTTTTTTTTTGCAACTTGTCCCATCTAAGCACTTAAAGAACTTGTCTCAATCATTAAAGAACTTGTCTTAACTTAAAGCGCTTCTTTCGACCTTCCGTACTGATATTTATTCGAGCTTCGATTCGAATATGCAGACCGGCGCCATTTTCATTGACTTCTCCAAAGCATTCGACAAAGTTCCACACCAATGTCTTTTAACAAAGCTTACCGATATTAATATTCGCCCCCTCTGTTGTTAAGTGGATTTCTGAATTGTTAATTAACCGTTAGCAATATCCTTCCCTTAACAACGTAAAATCTCCCACCTCTAATGTAACGTCAGGTGTCCCCTAGGGAACCGTACTTGGCTCCCTTTTGTTCCTAATCTGTATTAATGATCTTCACCTTAATATAGATTGTTCTGTTCGCCGTCAATTGTGTCATTTACTGACTCATTCTTTCATACCATAATCATCATGCTCTCCAGGAAGACCTTGAGTCTGTAATTCATTAAGGTGAAAAATGGCAGATGACATTAAACTTTAATAAATGTAGATCCCTATCATTTTCTCGCAGTTCGCGTGCTACACCATTTTTGAAATACCTCACTAATTCTCAAGTAATAGCATGCTCATCTTATAGATAGTTGGGTGTTCATCTCACCTCTGATCTATCATGGACTACTCATATAACTTCTGTTATTTCTGGTACTAACCATTCTCTCGGATATATGTGCCGTAACCTGAAACTTGCTACACCCTCTGTAAAACAACTAGCATATGCTACTCTTATAAGATCGAAGTTAGAATATGCCTCATCATTATGGTCACCATGCCAATCCTACCTTGCCAATAATCTAGTATCCGTCCAAAACAGAGCCCTTTGTGTTATTTATTACAACAACTCACCATATACCAGCATATCAGGGTTACGCCAATCAGCTAACCTTCATTCACTATCCCTTCACTGCTGAGTATCACGCATTTCTCTCCATAGAATTTTTTATCGCAATAGCCACCTTGAAGAATCACTGGTATCACCTGCCCGTCGTATTTTCCCGCGTCTAGATCACCTATGTAAACTACCTACGTCCAATTTGATCATCAACTGTTTCTCACCAGAGTTCCACACTACCATTGGCCATCGAGGATTGGAATTCACTACCTCACAACATCCTTTCTATTAATGGTACAGTGTAGACCGCATATAACGTATGTCTCGGGAGTCGCGAAAATCCGCACTATAAGCGGTACCGCACTATAACCAAAACATCAATTTTTCAGGCAAAAATACATGCCATGAGACAACTTACCTTTGTAAAAGAATGTATTTTATGTTAGATAAAAAATAAAGCTTAGTTTGAGGAAAGTCTTTATTTCACCAGACTAGTACAGTTCTGTCTCAAGTGTGTCACACATTTTGAAAGAAATGAGCGGCTTTTGCCTGGCGCAGCCTTTTAACGGCGTCGCGGGTTGCGGGCGGACGTTACGAGCGTTCAGGATTGCTAACCCTAATCACTTTTCTCCGGAGATGAAAACGCGTGAAAATTCGCATCCTTCATACGGTACGCGCCAGTAATACCTTGAACTTGAGCACACGCATGAAATGCACCAAATAAGAAATCCGGGCGATGTTCGAGGACACAAATGCTTAGAAATCACCACTGTAGTCGAAGTAAACAAACACGACGACATGGGCGTTTCTGCCGTCTTGAGAGCGCCGCCACGATATCGCCGCACGAGTAGGTGGATCTTCCCTTCTAGTACGTGCTGGGTTATCATAGCGACACACAACGAAAATTCACAGTCAAGGAAAGCGCTTTTACGCAGAGCGATGAGATGCACGCCGTCTACGACGACGATCACAACCGACGCCATGTCTGCGGAATAGAAGCAGCCGCCGGCGCGCGCGAAACACTTCTCCTCGACCTGCGATTGGTCTGTCGTTGGGATTGTTTGTTTCTTTGTTTCCAACGCAGCGGAGGGACGCACGCACGTGAACGACTCGTGCGTGCGTCCCTCCGTCGCTATGGCAACTGAAGCCTCTCTCTTCACTCCTCCCCGTGTTTTCGAGCAACCTCCTTGCCCCGCGAGTGCAGCTTGTGGCTCGCGCCGTCAGCGCCGTTATCTAGTGTCGCATCGGCGGGCTGTGCCAGAAACCGCACTATAACCGGTATTTCCCTTCGCGCGCCTGCATTTTAAGCGGTATGTAATTACATGGAGTTCTATGGGAGGTGAACCGGTGGTTTAAAAAAACCGTGTTATACCCGGTCCTGCACTATAAGCGGTTACGTTGTAAGTGGTCTATACTGTACCGCTAAATTTGTTAAAGCCATTACCCTCTCTTTATCTAACCTACCTAGCCAGCTTACAGTGTTATAATTGTGTTGACTGTTCTCTTTTTTTTTCTTGTTCTATTGCCACCCCCTTATACCCACGGGCCCTTGAAGAAAATAAATGATGGTAGTGATGATGATTCCAGTCAACAACCCAGGGAGCATGGAACGTGCGTGCATTGTACGTGCACCCGATTTGTCACGCTAGGTTACCGGTAGCTTGGGGTGGTTTTGGACGACTTGCACGCATGACAAACTCGCATGCTTCCTGGGTTGGTCTGAAAGATGGAGTTTGAGCTGAAACGTATAAAGAAGAGCGCGAGGGGTGTGCCTTGGCGAGAAGGTTCCGCTCCCTCCGAAGGCGCACGTGGCACCGGGAGTTTGCGCTTTTGGATCGCGAGGAGGTAACCAAAGTAATCCGCTCTGGAAGCTCCCGTCGTCTGGGAGCCGGCCTGGACGGGAGTTTGCCTCGAGCCGGTGGGGCGCCACTTTGGGGATGAGTTAAAAGAGCGGGTGACCAAGGTGAAGCGTGGCGACCCTCGTGCACAGCTGCAGAACCACGACCCGGGGCTGCCGCACCGCATCCGCGCCAGCCTGTGGCTGGCGGACCGGGAAGAGCCGCACGTGCACCGCCTCACCATGAAGGGCCGGGACGAGGAGGACTGCTGCTACGTCACCGTCAGAGAGGACGGCAGGGCCACGTGAGTGCACTCACTCTCTTGGACGGGGCCAAAGGCGATTGGGAGTACCCTCAGTCGTACTCCCAACCCTTTTGCGAGCCATCCATTCATGCGTAACCGCAAACCAGACACTCCTCAGTACAGTGGACTCCTCTTGAACGAAATTCCAAGGGACGGGAGAATTTGTTCCATTTAAGAAGGGACACTATTCAAGAGGGTTAACTTTTGAACCTAGGGCTTCATATGAATGAAATTTACAGTATATACTGGCAGTTGCTAGGCAGAACGCAGTGCAAAGTTTCATCTGTGTGCATGAATTGTAAGACAAATTACACCGTAAAATACCGGGCAAGCGCCCACTCGAAATTTAGAGATAATCGCGAAAAGTGGGGGATGAGCGCTTGTCCAGTCATCACTTCTAGATATTTTCTCAGATCTTACTAATTTGAGAATGGGCGCTTGCTGTGGAATGGGCGGATGCGCGGTATTTTGCGGTAGTTGTTTTTATCAGGAACACACAGACTTTGTTTAGGAAAACTATTGTTAGACGAATAATGTAATAACCGACATTTTTCTACTCTACTGGGCGATTCAAGGAGCGGCCAGGCTCTGAACCCCTTGAGTGCCTAAATTTTTTTCCAAAAATAACCTAAAAGTGCCATATTTTTTTTATTTTGAATTGTTATTCCTCTAGTAGTACACATAAAATTTGAAAAGTTTATTACGCAAAAATCAGCGGAGGCGAAAAAAATATTTGCCAACTAAAACGAGTGCTGCCATCTATAATCAGTGCCGCAAAACTACTCGGACGAGCCTAGCTCGTCCGTGGAATTGAGGGCTATGGAAAAAACCACTGGACGAGCTGAGCTCGTCCACGGCATTTTTAGCCAGAAAGTGGCCAACGAGCCCAGCTCGTTTAATGGTGAATTCGGGTGGTCACCTCTTTCCTCTGACCTCGATTCGGCAGAGCGCCCCCTCCTCGCCGCCAGAGCTACTCGGGATCCTTTTCAGCCGATCACAACTGCTGGCTTCAGAGCGCTCCGAGACTCTCAGACCAGTCACGGAATTAAAATTTCCTGACATTCGTAATGCATTAAAAACAACACGATCTTGCAGCGTACGGTGGACTATTGAGTAACATTTACGCTCGCAACGTGATGAAATAACGGTTGTGACGTAAGTTGTTTTAAAGGGGCACTGACACCCCAAAGGTCGTATTATTTTTTATTATCTAAAACGATGCATGTTATAGTCATAGACACGAAAAAAAAAACGCATCGCGAAAAAAAATTTTCCTGCGCGCGCGCGCCTTTTTATTTTTGGCGTTTATATTTCCCGCTCTCACCTCCTCGCTTCTTTTGATCGGTGACGTCAAAAATCAGGAAATTTAGAAGCTTTGTAGGCGACATTTCTATACCATTTAATAACGGCAATCGTAAAACATGTTTTTTAACGTGATGGCAAACGGACTACGGCCCCTCTTTTTGAAATACCAAAAATCAGATTTCGGTGTGATGTCGCTTCCTGGATTTGTGTTCTCCCTCGGCAAACTTGGCGGCGCTCGAGCGGAGGCTTATCGGCGATTCGGGGAAGAAACCGGTTTTTTCCCGTGCCGGCGCCGATCACCTCCTCCTCGCTTCGGGTCGCCGTGGAAACGGCGGAGGTCCCAAAGAAAGTCGAGTCGCAGGCGACCGCAAAATTTGACTCGCTGCACTGGCGCGGATCACGCGGGAACTTCAAATTCGGCATTTGGAAATTGTTTTTTTAATTGAGAAATACTGAATTCCCAAGTTTCAAATTTTGAGGGTAATGTCCCGGCATCGTTCTCAATCGTTTCGGATAGTAAAAAAAAATATGATTTTGATGTGTCAGTGCCCCTTTAAGCATCGGCATGTAAAAAGAGAAATAAACTGTATGCGAACTGATTTTTGCAGAACGGAACGAAAGCCAACGCTTAGAAAGAGTTGTCAACTCATCGCGTTTTCGGCAGTGAATGCACTGCGATAGCGGTCATTGTACGATAGAGCAGGCAAATATAAAATAATTAATAAACCACATTTTTTTCACGGCAAAATATTGTGCAAGCATCGCCATGTGACACAAACCACAGTGCATTATGTTCGGCTCTCCCTTTGTTTTACAACACAAACCTTTGAACGCACTTTTACCAAACCTCAAAATTTCTTGAAGCGACCACGAAACCCGGTAAAACAGTGGCGAGCTCTGCGAGGAGTTTCGTCGTCGGTTAGGCTTAGCGGATTCACTGCCGTGAGATGAACGATCTCGTGAAAGCACTGGAAATTCTTCACACGTCAAATTTTCCTGTTACGGTCGCAAACGAATGTCGTCTTGTCCGTTGTAGTCCTCGCACTGTCGAATGCACAAGCACTTTGTAGAACCACATATCACTCGCCGTCATGCCGTACCCCACACACCACCGCAGACCACTGCTGCCATCGTCAACAAAACCACGTGATCACCGTCCAAGTACCACGTGATGCCTGCATCGCTCCGCACTCCAACGGCTACAGACGGAGTGCCAGGGAGCGCTCTGAGAGGGATAGGCGCCCTCGGAATAAACCACCCGATCAGGCCACAGCACTCTCTTTCAACCACCTGATTGTGTGCGATCTGGAAAGAGCGCTCGAGAGCGCGCAGAAAGAACCACGCAAATTCGCCATAAAGTACTTAAGGGGTTAAAATCGACCGCAAAATTTGGTTTCTTAAAGGGGCTGTGCAACGGCATTGGGTAGGAATATTTCTTACTTTACACCAGCTTCCTGGCACTAGTAGGACACAAGAATACTCGAACGCAACACCACTGACCAAGAAGCGTCTTCGTCGCGGGGGAATTTAAAAGATGAAAGCGGAGCTTTTCTTTCAGTCTCCCCTTCCAAAGCCGCCTTTTGCTCCTTCGCGAAATTTGATGACGGAGCTGTGGGGACAATGGCAACAGTACGATCCCCAGGAATGCGTCATCGAGCTTTGCGGCGATGATGTTCAAATGCTGCTCACACAGTGGACGCGAAGACTGCGTACGCATTCAATCTGGGCTCGTGACAATCGATGCCTCGACATGCATTCGGGTAGTGGCCCGTGTCCAATCGCTGCAACGACCACAATAGCCGAGCCATAACAATATCTGGAACTCAGCGCTTGTTGTGTGCTTTGCCAACCCTAGTGCGTGGCTATGATCAACATTGGCGGCATATAATCGGCTCCAGATCACGTGGCAGCTTGTTCTCGCTGCGAGTTGAGGGAATGAACGGTGCTCGTTTTTCTTTAATTTTTTTTTGGAACTTATTGTGTGGGGTGAAAAACGAACGCGTGTTTCAAAGGTCATTAACGTCAGGGATCCGTTTTAAACGATGTTTGCACAAAGTCAGGGGTGGAACGGCTGCGCCATTTGCGCCATTTTGCGCCAGACGCATTTGTCTGTGCCATCCTGCGCCATGTTTCGGAAACTGCGCCACAGTCAATACCTCGCGCCATTATGCACCAAATTGGAAAACGTGCGCCAAAAAAATTGTATTTTGTCTTGGTTTCGGTTTCTATCGACTCGATTGGCAACAATGATCGCGTTTAGCTTGGTCGGCCTTGCAATCCTTTTTTTCTCTTTATTCTCCCTGTGTATCCCGAGTAGGAAGTGTGCGAAAAAACCTCGGGGTTCGGATTCCAAGCGCTACACCATCTGCCTCTGGATTGTTATTTTTCAACCATAAGCGGTTAAACAAGTCGGTCGAGGTAAGGTCGAGTCGTTAAGTGTCAGATTGCCTGAGGCTCCGAAGCCCGGGATCCGGACGTCAGTCAGTTGAAAACAAATGAGCAAAAGATTCCTTTGAGCACTTCATCGTTAGAAGTTGCAACCGCATTCCTGCAAGATAAATCGTGATTTGATAGATCTGAAACGCAGTCCGATCCGAAACCTTGCCGGCCAGCAGCTCTCACGCGAGCGGTAGATCTGCTCGGCATACGTTAACCTTGCTCCTGCTTATCGCTTCGAATACGATAACTCCGTTAATCGTAGTCTGCTGCTTCGATATTGAGTTGCACAATAGGATAAACTTGAATTTTGTTGCGATATTGAGTTGCGCAGTATGAGAAACTCGAAATTTGTTTCCCTGTTCTTCCGCGCAACTGCACGTCCGTTGCTTACGCATGTCACGTGGTTCGCACATAAAATCACTCTGTCGAGGACGTGTGGTCTGTGCGATAAGCGGTGCTGGTTTGCATTTTGAGCACCTGAAAGCCACTCAGAAAATATCAAGGGTCACAAAGTTCCAAGTTTTCGCATCTGTTACACTGTTATCCCATCTGCCTAGGTCCCTAACCACTCATGTTTATCTGGGCTGCTAAGCACAACTGAAATTGCTCCCGTGCTTGTCTAAGATACAAGCTGGAGTGCAATGAAAACTGATCTGAGCTGCTCCTTGCCTGCTCCAGAGTGTAGTTTTAGCTGCTCCCAACCTGCTCCAAAACAGCTGTTTTAGCTGCTCCCGTGGCTGCTCCCAAGCACATTTCATGAGTTCCACCCCTGAAAGTACAAAAATTGTTGCATCGCCCCTTTGACATATCCCGCTACGACTTTGTGCAGGGTTACCCACAGATGGTGCATTTTTTTTGTAAAATTTGCAGAGTGAACTTACCTGAGGGAAAAGTAAAGAAAGAGAAGGGCTTAGCTCCTATGGAAAACGCAGCGAAGCCACCGGTCTTCAAACAACACGGCGACGTGTTATTTGAAGACCGTTGACTTCACTGCGTTTCTATTGGAGCTAAGCCTTTTTCTTCCTTTACTTTTTCCTCAGGTAAGTTCACTCTTTGCAAATTTTACAAAAAAAAAAATGCACCATCTGTGGCGAACGCTGCACAAAGTCGTAGTGCGATAGGTTAAGAAACCGAATTTTGCGGTTGATTTAATTGATCTCCTTGAATCACCTAGATCTGCAGCAGTGTCTGGAGAGTTCAACTGGGAAAACAAATTTTCCAAAAAGTAATTTATTTTATGCTAAAATCGCAGTGAAAAATCAAATAATTTTTTTGCCTTTTATGTTGCCAAGAAAATTTTAACATCTTTCATAAAACATGTCCACAAAGTCGAGAAAAAATTCGCAGTGTCATTGTCCATAAAATTCCAGATAGGAAAAACAATGAGTGAGTCTTTTCTCTTGTCCCATTAACAAATGATAGTTTCCCTAATGTGAAATTTATGCCAAAAAGTGGAACGGAGAAAAATGCATTAAAAGTGCCCCAAACCCTACCTTTTCTTTACCTTCACTGGACCGAAAATAATTTATAAAAAATAACTGTGCAGTGTAACCTAATGAAACTTTTTAAGAATACTTTCTAGATGTCGGTGGATGTAAATATGGCATTTTTCAAAATCAACTTTTTTTTGCAGAAATTTTTTATTCTGGGTAGTGTCCCCCCTTAAGCAAAGTGTACATATCATTGGAGAAATATAACTTTATTTCAACGGCATGAATGCAGCTCCTATGGCTCACTAGGAAAAAAAAGTGTTAATGGTGGTTGGGCATTTTGCTAGAGCTTTTTTACGAAGCGTCCCTGGAGGCTGGGCAGAAATTGGGCGCAACCCTCGCGTTGGAAGTAGCGCCACAAAAGATGGACAGCCTGAGCGGCACGGCAACAGGCACAGGGCCATTTTGTTCTGCGTCTTCGTCACTGGTCCTCACCATGATCCCCGACTCCTGAATGCTCTCCTTGCGGCATGTGCCAACGTTCGTGTTCATAGTCCTGTTGTGTGAACTTTGTGGAGGGGACCAGCTTACTATAAAGGACATTGGGAGTGTGTTCTTCCTCCTCGAGAATGACTCGTTGCTTCGCAAAGTCCGCATGGTAAAAGCATCTTTGCACAATTTACGCTGCTCTTCATAAAGGTGAACATAGGAAGACCTGAGAGCAAGTCCACGTTGTAGATTGTCCGCACAAAGAAGAATTGGTCGGAGCAGTTGGCGGCGGTAATAAACGCCGAAGATAACGCCTCTGTCCATTGGTTGGATTACTGCCATTGCATTCACCAAGAGGAACTCGAGGCTCATGGTCCGTCCACCCGACCATGGGCGGGGCAGTTGTCCACAATCGAGGCAACTTTATCGTGCTCCCGGGTAAACCTCGCATCCTCGTCACGCAGCCGGGACTCGAAGATCATCCAGGCTTTCCCGTAATAAGTGACAGGCAGCCTTTGAAGCAACGAGGTTTCTCCGCTTTTCTCGAAGCACCGACCTCAGCTTTTCGCTGCCGTCCATGTCGGTACCTGTGAAGAGCACCGAAATGTGCTCTTTACTTTGCTCCTGCGCAGGCTTCTCCCTCGTAGGTGTTGAAGGCATCTTGTGCTTCAAAGGTTTGCAGAATTTTTTGCAGCCGCCCCTGCAGTCAGTTGCTACAGACGTCTCTGTTGACCGCTGCACTCTCTCCTAGCCTTAAAGTCTGGGCCATTTTTCGTAACGTGCATCCTAAAGTTTTTTATTCCCATCTGAGAGGCGACCTCCCTTCTAAGATGGGCCTGCTGATCGGCAGATTCGCACTGTGCTTAAACCGCCGGAAAATAACATTCTCCACGTCCTCGTACGTTGTCTTCCACATCCGCTTTGGGGCTGTGGGAAAGCTTCCCACCTTGACAGCATCTTTTTTCTTTTCCTTCGATATCCTCGGGAGCATGGACTTCGAGATGCCCAGCTTCTCGGTGATTTCACTCTTTGTGAGATTGCCACAATCCAGCTTTTGAATATCTTCACTTTTGCCTCGGCCACAGCTGCTTGGCTATGGAGTTTCCTTTTGGTAGTAAAAATGCCGCAATCATTTCAGTTGTCGGCAGGGTAGTTTCGGTTTCTGTCCCGTTCAACCAAAGTAAGCGAAAGACAATGTTCCGATTATACCAAATTTTTTAGCATTACATAAAGAGCAAGCCGACCAAAGTAGCCACCATAGTTCCATTCATCTGCAATTTTTGTTTGAGCGAGTTTTGTTTTATGGGAGTCCAACGTATGCACACTATAATTTGCTAGGTCCGTCGGCTCTTGCGCCGCTCATTCATGTCGGTCCCCAGAACGGAAGGGCTTCCTAGTCTGTCCGCGAATCTTTCTGGAGATTGAAGAGTTTGCAAACCCCTTCGATAACGTAATATATTTTTATTAGCCTTCCTCATTCGGCACGCCCAGATGGTTTGAGTTTACGAACATAGATTGGTGAGGCCTCCTCTATATTTTTCACGCGAGAAAATAGACCTTCGGGTGGATTCGTCGAAAGGCTTCCCCGTATTTGGTGAAATGTTGCGGTGCTGGGTAGGATCTCTATTTTTTGCGTAAGAGTTCTCCGCCGTGTTCCACTTCTAAACAAGTGGAACACTTGTTTAGAAGATACCGGCCGAAATTGTAACCACCGCACAAACCCGTGGCGTACGGAAATTGTTCACACTGTCCCAGTTTGTGTCACGCTCCAACAGTGGTGCCGCGAAATTGCGATAGTAACCAAATGGTGAAGCCAGAGCCTTTCTTTTCCTCGCGCTGCCAACTCCTCATTGGCAAATTGGACACGCGTACTTTCGCGGGAAGCCGCTTTTGAGAGCTTCGGGTTTGGGGCGGAATGTGCTTTGCTTTGTGTTCGCGGGATCTTGCACCCAAGTATGACGAGCTCTTCTCGAACCTTGGCGCATTATGTGTGCCACAGAGATAGGAGTAACTGTGATGCTACGCGAGTGCAGTTTCACAGCTCTTGAGAGATTTGGGAGATGTACGACGGTGCATGCCTGGCGGCGCTTGCACACCCCGCCTGCAAGTGCTTTACGTCTAGTAAAAAAATTTGAGATTGTTGCGACATTCTGCTTTGCCTGCAAAGCGCGTAAAGTTCCTCTAGGGGAGATTGGAAAGAGCTTTCCAAAGGGCCATCTGGATAACCCATGGCACTGCTGTCGGTTTGGGCTGAAGGAGGTGCATGCCCTCAACGGTGTCGTCGTATGTTTCAGGTTTCCAAGCATGTCCATTGTTTTCCAGCAGAAAAAAACGGTGGCGGACATTCTGTACAAGCGGAAGCGGGAGAGATGCGGAGGGCAGCCGTCTCCAGGTGAGCACTTGGCAAACCCCATTGGGCACTTTCTGGCCCTCAAAATAAATGGAACTCCCACTAGCAATGCTCTACTTCTGCGGTTAGTGCACTGAATGTTTTCGCGTCGACAGAGTGCCCACGAAAAAGTGGATAACCGGAAGCAGTTCCCACGACTGAGTGTTGACGTTGGCGCTCTCGACGCGTTTGTAAATAACTTGGCATGCAGCAATGAGTTGTCCGAATGGCGTCTCAAAGGAGAAACTTTCTCCATTTTTGACGGCAGACCCCGGGTGGTCTAGCTAGCAAAGGGATCCTCGCCCGATTGCCGTCAGGGTATGAGGAGTCCCAATGCATGCTGGCTCTTGGAGAACTTTTTCCTCATATCCGAGGTTAGGAAGGCTGGCTAGCTTTTAAACTCGCACATTTATTATGCGTAAAAGTCTGTCGAACCTCTAATTTGAGCATTCTAATTACGTAAAGGAGGAGACGCAAGAGCGAGAAGGCCACGGGACAAGCGCTACTTATAACTGACGTTTACTTGCCAACACGAGAGGGACCACAAGAAGGAAGTGAAGGGAAGGAACTAGGAAAAGAAAAGAATGAGAAAAATATATTCACTGGTGAAGTAAAAGATTAGAAAATAAATAAAACAAAAATAAAATAAAATTAAGCGAAAGAAAAACACTACCAAATTAGGAAGTAAAGAAATTTAATAACTCGGCACTTCCTAACACAATCAAGAACTGGAACGGTCTTCTCGAAGCCATCGTCAACATATCTGATAAAAAAATGTTTCGCAATGCCCTCTCCGATCATTTTTTCCCCCCATGATCTCCCACTGCATCCTGAATTTTGCTGTTTTGTTGTTCTGTTGCCTTTTTTACTCTGTCATTTTTGCATTAAAGTGCATTTTTTGTCTTGCCATTGTTATCATTTAGTTTGAATAATTGCTTTTTGGGTTCTTGCCGCGCATGCTAGCATTATAACTTCATTTTCACATCCGTTTTCTTTTATCTACATACTTTCGCTTTGCATTTGCTTTCTTTCCTTGTAATAAAAGTTTCTTTTTCGGTGTGTGCATGTGTACATGCTTTTTTTTTTTACTGTTTCTATTTTGTTCTGAGTCATACTTACCCTGAATGTACCCCCCCTCATGTAATGCCCTTAATTGGGCCTTTGTGGTACCATAAATAAATAAAAGACGAAGTTCAAGTAAAAGAAGCCATCCTGAGAAAAAGTGCGGGTATTGGAATTCTTTGTCCAACAGGGCCACTGACTTCGCGCTGCATGGTACGCCTTTAGATTTTCTAGTTTTTGTCTCGAGGAGCTCTCTGGTTAAAGAAGGACTTTGAGTTGACCGAACAATAGGTTGACTCGCAGTTTTGGGGCACGGTCTTTTTAGTTTATCCAGGAAGGGCTACAGGAACCTCAAACACGGAAGGAACCCTTGCATGAAAGTCTGTGGATCTCTGGGCAACTGCCGGTCGACGTCTCTTCTCGGGTCCAATTTCTCTTCGTCCGTTGGGATTTGCCGAGCATTTTGCGACATCCAAAACAAGAGAATGTGGATGTCCAGATTCCAGTGATGTGATTGCTGCGCCAAATGCGCCAAATTGCACCAAGGGACTAACCCTGCTACATCCTACTACATTTTGCCGAAATATGAATAATCTGCGCCAAGCCTGCGCCAAAGGACCAATTTTGGTCTCCTTTCAATACCGAAACTAAACTGAGTACTGTGATTGAGCATGCGTGAGCTAGGTGGCGCAAGCAGTCGCCCGACATAGAGTACCCTGCATTAGTCGTCCATCTGGTCTTGCATGGTTTCTCCCCCCCTTTCATTTCGCTCTCGCCGTCTCGTGTGTCTCCTCTCGCAGCTTTTTAAAATGTTTTCAACGATAGATGCGGGCGTGTGCGGATGTTCCAACGCTAGCGTGCAAGGTACTAGCCATGCCATCATGCTGTGGAACGTAACCACGTTTTTGCGTGGCAGGAGTTAGTGAGCTGAAACACTCGGTCCTGAAAGCAAGTGCCGTGGGAAAACTATTCTACTTGGTCCCTGCGCAACGTCCGGTGTTGCCGTCCCCATTGTCCCTGCAGATGTGGCGCTTTCTAAACTGACACGTAAGGACTGCCACATGTTCATCAACATTCTTGTTCTTGTTCAAGTCATACGCTACTACAAAGATCCCTCTTTAACTCAAACCTGTTGTGTCGAAGTATTGATTACCTAAATTTCTCTTGATAGGTTTTCTTTCGAGGGGAACCCCAGTACGTGAAAAATCTACCGCGAAAGAAAGTTGGTGAAGAGAAGTGAGCTAAAGCAAAGAAGGCAATGTCTGCACGCTGAACCCGCACAACAAGCTTGTTTGTCTCGAGTTCAGTCGTTGCACAAAGCGCTCCAAGAACTTTTTGACCCCGGCTTGCAATGTCTTGCATTGATGTGCTCACGTTCTTTTTCTCTTTGAGTTCAACTTGTACCTCGCCTGCCGGCCTGGCAAGCACGTGCCGTTGGACTGTTTTTTGTTGTATGCTGAACAGTTGCATTTTGCATACAGTTTTGGGAACCAGTTGGCGATGGAGTGGAGTGGCATGGTTTCGGTCGAACAGCCATCTCCGCTCGCGCGATGAAGCATGTGCAACTGCAAGCTCCCGAAGTTGCCCTCATGTGCATGCAAATATGATTGCACTACAGAGGCACCAGCCGGAATGCTTGCAATCCATTCTTTTACGTTTGCTTACTTTTGACGAAAATGTGGCTCTTCGGGTGCCAGTAAAACGGTCGCAAGTGGTTTTTCGGAATTGCTCGGCAACGCCGATAGCACTGTACACTTGTGGAATGTCTCAATGTCTCTTTAAGACATTGAAAGTAAAAATTTATTGCTAGCCGAAGGCAAAGTGAGGCTTGCATCAGCCTTGCAGAAAGTTTTGAAAATCAAAAAGAAAAGCATCCGCAAGTCGTAATGCACCTTTGTCTTCTGTAAAATTTCGCATTGCACTGCAATAGTTGCGTGTTTCATCAGTCGGACACTGCCTCCATTTATCATGTTATATAACTAGTCGACCTACTGCTGTGATATTTACTACTAAGCTGGTCATTCTCAAATGAATTTTCATATCTGCAGTTTGGTTTTTATTTATATATATTAGGTACATATATATTTATCATTGAAATGAAGCATTGCAAAATGTGTCATGTCATTGGCATTTCATTTACATGTTGAAAGACTGCCAGGTAGTCTAGCTTGACCATAATTAGTTTATTGCGGCGAGCAAAGTGCCCTTCATTTGTCCAGCATTCAAAATGAATATTGTTTACATTTTCCTAAGCATATCTTCTCCAAAAACCACTTTTGCTGCTCCGAAACACTGTTTTGACTGCTCCAAAAGGTGCTCCAAAACAGCTTAGGCTAATCACATCACTGAGATTTCTTTAGTCGTTCCACTCGTGAGTCGAAGCTCCTCTTGGCCGCAGGATTTCACCAGTTCCACGCTCGAGCAGCTTTTCACAATTCCCTTTTTGACTAGCTTAGGCCTCTAAAGCATCACTCTGTGGCCCTGGCAAACAAACACCTGAATGTTTTCTCACGACGGCTTCTTTTACTTGAACATCATCTTTCTTTACTTCCTAGTTTGATTGCGTTTTTCTTTCGCTTAATTTATTTTATTTTTGTTTCATTTTACTTATTTGCACATCTCTTATTTCACCCAAGAATATATTTTTCTAATTTTCTTTTCTTTTGCTAATCTCCTAGCTTCACTTCCTTTCTGCCTTCCCTCGGGTGTAGGTTAGTAAAAGTCGGTTGTAAGTAGCACTTGTCCCGTGTCCTTGTCGTTCTTGCATCTCCTCCTTTGCGCTTCAGTACTTGTTCAGCCAACTAGCCCAACGGTTAATTTTAATTCTCTAACTCGAGAATTTATTTCGGCGTGTATATGCCGCAAATTTGTAACCTTGGGATCTTTTTCGTCAGCCCGCTCGACTAATTTTATGCCCAAGAAATTCCTGGTGGAAGCTGTATTTGCTTAAATGTGGGTATCGCTCCTAAAGTCCCGGATGCATGTTTACTACCTTGGAAAGAAACGCCTCTGCCCGTTACCGCTGCATTATGCAACCTGGCTGCGGTAGTGCACTGGCTCGTGGCAATGTTGCCAGTCTAGCGAGAAAAGGGAGCCAAGTGGACCGTGTTGCAGAGGAGGCCAGAAGGCTGCTGGGCGAGGCCAAGAAGGAGGCGGCGGAGCTGAACCTGAACCTGGTGCGCATCCAGTTCTCTGCCGAGTGCTGCCAGGACGGCGTCTGGAGGACCCTCTGCTGCGTCTACTCCAATCCCGTGGCAAATTCCAGTGAGTGGTCTCCTTCCTCGAAGACAGTGGATACGGACGAGACTCGACCGGCTCTCTGGAACGCTTCTGTAATGTGGTCTCAACTCCGGGTTCACCTCTAACTTTTAAAAGCTTAAAAGAACTTGAAAAATATGCTAGTCGAGGTAGTTTCCCTGCGACAGTCCATCGAAAGGGAACCAAACTGCGACTCAACTCCGGTTCCAATGCCGCTAAAGCACAGTGTCACTTTAAAAGCCCAACTCTGGGTTTTCATAAGATTTTTGTGCTGTCATACTTTGCAGTGTACGATATTAAAACCTTGTGTTTGGTGTTCATAAAACTTGGTGGAACATATTTTTATTGATAGAGGTTTTAGGATACACCGTATTTGCACGAGTATAATGCAACCACGAATATAACGCGAGGGCATGTTTTGATGACCTCAAAAGGAAAAAAAAAAATAATATTACTATTATATAAGCGAGCGGAGGCTGCATCTCTTTCCCACACTCGGGGCCACAGCAGAAGTGAAAAGGCAATGGAAGTAGAAGAAATATCAGTTTATGTTCTGACTGCACTCATCCCCACTGCTCAGGTCCTTCCATTACCAGTCCACTTGGCGACTATGCACATAAGCAGCAGCACAGCGTGGCTTGTCTGGTAGTTCCTTTTTCTTTGGCATGAGCTCCTCGGCAGCCCACAATCCAAGAAAGGCCGGACTCAGAAGCACCTACGCACAAACATCAAACCACTCTGGAACAGGAACTAAGAAATGCGGAGACAGAAAAAAGACTGCAGAACCCCATACACGATCGCACTTCTTCTTGTTCTGGTCCCACCGCATAAACAAACATCTTGATTGCGTAATCCGTAACCCCGTGGTCTTGTTGACTTGGCCTGGCTTGACTTGAATTGGCCAGTGCCCACATATCTGCATGGCGCTCTGCGTTTCTGCGTTGTACAAACAGAAAAGGGACAAAAATGCTTGATTTATGTTTTCTCTTGGCCCCTTCAGGTGGCCCAATAGCTAAGCCCTTCCCACCCGGCCTCCTGCAACCCCCTGCATTGAGCCGGTGGGGGTCTTAATCCTCTGGCTTTCTCCAGACTTGCGCACCTCGTGGCTCAGCTCAGTTCCGAATATAACGCGAGGTGCGTTTTGGAGCGCATAATTACGAGAAAAAAACTCGCGTTATATTCGTGCAAAAACGGTATGCTGGATTTTGCTGGCATTTTACGGGCTAAATAAACAGCGTAGTGTTATCTCGACTTCATTCTTTAACCATTTTTTTAATGCCCATTATAATTGGGACCTATTCTGACGTGAGCCCCTAAAAGAGAAAACGGTGTGTTCCTTCTGCATTATTAGATAATAAGTAATATGCCCGAGTATGAAACAGATAATGATTACCAAAGATCATTTAGCGATTCTTTAATCTTTTAGTTTCGAGGGAGGTGCTAACGGCTGTAGGCATGAGCTCCCAAAGCATCCTCCACCAAACCAGTATTTTGCCGGCTACAAAAGGTCTACTTCCATCGCAGAGCTTCATAGCGCTTCTTCTGACGAATGTATCTTTTTGCTCGTGTAGAGGCTGGGAAACTCAAGATCACCAAAGTGAACAGGACCTCTGGTTCGTGCAGCGGAGGGGACGAAGTCTGGATACTTTGCGAGAAGATAAACAAGAGTGAGCCTCTTTGTTTTAGGATCTTCATTCTTCAAACTTGTACTTATGTAGGGCTAGGTAGTGTAAAGACCTGCGAGGAAATATTAACGTAAAATGTAACATTGTGTTTTTGTGTCTGCTGGTTAGTATCATGTTTCTCATGTCCGTAAAATACCGGGGGAATCCCCACCCTACTTCAACTGAAAACTGGGCTAACGTAGACACGGGCACTTCAACGGTAAAATCGGGCACTTAACATACAATTTGTAGAATTTCCAAATTTATGAAATGTTAATATTGGGAGCTTCCGCGTTATTTTATGGTAGTCAAAACTACCCTAATTTCCGGCATATAAATCACAGTTTTCTTTTTTTTTTCAAACATTTTTCGTGGAGCGTTTTATGCAACAATGCGGCTTACGTGTATTTTTTTTTAAATTCACGGCGCGACGCCATTTTTTTGTACGCCATCTTTTGTTGAGCCCCGTAACTACGTAGCCATAGGTGGTGTTGACCCTTCCAAAAGGCACTGCTGTCACCGCACTTTTCTACACTTTTCCCACCTGACTTGGAAAGCGAGAGATTTTACGGTTTCCCCAGGAGCGACTCAGTGTGGATAGGCAAGACCGTGCGACTAAAATGTTTACAGCATGTGATTGACGTAGCCTAATTCAGCCATGGTTTTGTATTCTTTTGCTTCAGTCCAGTAACACTCAAAGGTAAGTGGGCTGATATACATACACATGGTAAAATATTTTCTCGCAACTTTTTTTCTTAGTTTTCGTTTCACGAGCAGTTTTTTCTGCCATGCTCCAGCCGTGTTGCTACGTGTAAAAGGAAGAATTGTGGCCAGCTAATCTTTTAGAGGTACAGAGAGAAGTATGTCAAGATTTATCTATCTGCCTGCGCATCGATGCTTGGCCTAGGCTTGGTCCACTAGTGTCTGGCACGTTAAACTTGCGTTCGCTCGAAGAAAGCCGACTGCCCTCTCATTTTGTGCGTTTTATGTCCTTTTGCTGCGAAACACTCGATTGCCCCCGCCAGACAGCGCCGTGCTATGGGCATTTCTTGCGAGTCAAAACGTCAAAGTTGCGCATCCGAAAATACGTGCAATCTGTCCTATTGTAAGAAATTCCAATTTCACGACACCAGTGCACGTAAAACAAAAAAACTCATCGCGTGAACCATGCAAAGACTTATACGAAGGTGCGTCTTAAGGCCTGTTCACACTCTTGCAACCGTGTACGACCGAGAGAGAAGAGATCTGTTAAAACTTCTTAAAATTTCTCACAACGAGAGAACACACTGGCACCCTGGCGCCATCTATGCGGTGACCCTGGAACTGCATTTCACAAGAGTGAAGATTTTGCACAATTTTCGAGGTGAAATGTGCATAATACCTATAAGAAAGGCTTGTTTATAACGTTGACAATAGGTTTTTGAGCCAAGAAAGACGGGATAATGCGCGAGAAAAATAGAAAATATGCCTGACTGCCAAGTTTGCACTGCTACCCAATAGGTGGCGCCAGTGTGTCCTGTCATTGTAAGAGGTTTCTAGGCACCCAGTTCTAAGAGGTCGCTAGAGTGTGAACGGGCCTTTATCTACCGACCCCTCTGTAAAAACGACTCAATATACGGATGTGCAACTTATAGTCTGGAAAATACGAGTCGCGAAAAAACAAAGAGGTATATATGTTTAGCAACACACCTCTAATTCTGACATTCAAGACGTGTACAGTGATGCGATTGCTGCTCCAGAGGACTTACCGTATTTACTCGAATGTAACGCGACCACGATTGTAACGCGAGGGGTGACTTCTCACAGCGAAAAAAAAAACAAAAAAACAGAACACGAATGTAACGCGAGTTACATGAGGAGAAAAAAGTACCTCAAAAAGTACTACAACATGGTCCGCAAAAGCCTTTTCGGCCGGGTTTACACTTGAAGAGCACTTCACGCTGGAGCCTCCACCCACGGATAGTCGATTCTGTCACATCTATCCGTCGAACCGCGGCAGAGTTTCCGATTTCCCCAGCCATCATAATTGCACTTCTTTTAAAGCGGGCGTCGTACTGAGCTCGTTGCGTCGCCATTTGCTCGAGTCCAGTCGCGGGAGCACGTAGCAGCAGCTCACAAAACGCGGACAACACGGGCACATGGGTACGGTAACCCTAACAGAAAGAAAAAGCGTTGTGAAGGTAACCCATAACCCTAACATGGGCGCAACGAGTTGCAAACAAGAATAGGATTGGATTGGCTGTTTCCGGCGTGTATATGTTGCCAGCACAAGATTGAAAGATTGCGAGATTTGTCGTAGCCATTTAAAGAGCCTGTGCTGCGACACCGCTAAGGCAATTTTTGAGGCGTTTCGATTATAACGCGAACCCCCAAATTAGGTAAGGGAAATTTGAAAAAAACAAAAAAAACTCGCTTTACATTTGAGTAAATACGGTACCCTGCTAGATCCTGCTATATTCATCCCAAATGTGAGCAACTTGAGATAATATTTTGCCAAAACTTGATTTTACTTTTTTAAATGCTGAAAATATACTGGGCTCGGGCCCCACCACACGTCCGGATCGTCCTGGTACGCTTGTGGGAATTTCGGGAACCTTTGATTTAGCTACACAATAGCCTATTTGATATCTCTATCACTGTCAAACACTGACGTTCGCAACATCTTGTGCAGGTTGCTATGGCAACAGCTGCTCCAAGCAAACCAGTTTGGCAGCTGTTGCCATGGCAACCCTCAAGCCATTGCACTCTGTCGAGGATTAGACGCAAGTCAGTGCCCCTAAGGGGGGACACGGTGCAAGAAAAGAAAACCTCTTTTTGGATTGTTTTTTTTTAATCCTCACTAACAAAGTTCTATCGACGTTTGTGCCGTAGAAAAGTGAGAATTTACGTTTATTGACGTGCCGCAGACGCCCGCACGCCACTTTGGGTCTGGGGAGAGTTGCAGGAAACACCGTTTCTAAATTCGCGCCCAGGGGATGCTGCGTAGCCCTAGTGCGGCACGTGTATTCTCCTTGGAAGCTTTGTTTTTTTCTCTTTCTAATTCATACGCGCAATGTTTTCGAGAGCGCAGCGAGGCGTGTGCAGAGCCCAATAAACTAGAAGTAAAGATCTAGAAACGACGCGTCCCGATTGGCTAGGGAAACGAAACTCGAACTGTGGTTGGTGCAGATGCAACGCGTGACCCTTCAAACGCCATTTTGCACCCTGCGAGGCTTTGCCAGCACCACCATTACGTTTGTTATCACGTTTAGTGCTATCGATGCCGATTGTTTACAATCGTTTCGCCCATGCACCTCGAGGCATACCAAGCCGTCTCGGACAAAGTTCATCGCGCCGCCATGGATGCTGCGCGTGAAGTTATGCAGGAATCCGCGGAAGCGGTTAGGAGAGAATTGGAAGCGGGAGACAGTAGTGGCGTCGTTGATGTGTGCGTGAGCTTCGACGGCACATGGCACAAGCGGAGCCGCACCTCCCATTTGGGACTTGGGGCTGTGATCGAGCTGGACTCTGGCTTTGTGCTTGATTTCTCGATGGCGAGTAATCGCTGCTATGGCTGCTGCATCCTCCCTAAGGAGGGTGAAGATGGGCACGACGAGTGGATGGAAGCTTGCAGGGAGACGTGCAAAAGAACTGGAACAGTTCGTCAAATGCCATGCAAGTTGGGACTGCTGAGACCACATTCAGCCGGTCTATAGAACTCCACAAAATGCAGTGCACCACTGTACTCGGCGATGGAGGAAGTAAGGTGTTTATGCATGTCTCTAAGCTGAATCTTTACGATAAAGTATGATAAAGAGATAGTGAAAGATGACTGCGTAAACCAGGTTTCCAAACGAGTCTTCTATGGCATTGAGAGCATGAAAAAGCGGGCATGGATAAACTCAAAAGCTGTGTTGAAGAACGGCTTACTACGCTGCTGCCCTCAAGGAGAATTCTCCAGACGTCAAGAGGATGCAGCGGGCCGTCTTTGCGAGCTTGTTGCACTCCTATTCAACAGACGCCTGGGCACATTGCCTGTCCTCGTGGTGAGGATTCCTGGTGCCCCTACAACAGGCACCAGGCCCTGCTCAACGCTGGCAAGCCGTCGGCGCATAGGGTTCACCGCCATGCGTTCAGGGAGGGCATCGCCAAGGAGGTGGTGCCGCTTTACAATGCAGAATGGTAATGAATCATAATCCGTTGGTGTGGAAAAGGTGCCCGAAGACAGAATTTACTGTTCTAGACTTCAATGCTGGCCCAAAGGGCATCAAGCGAGTCTTGGAGAAACTGGGCATAGCTTGTGGTGCACACACCAGCAAGCATGTGGAGCAGGCCACAAGACGGCAAGTCACGAACACGAGTAAAGGCACTGGAGAGCTCCAAAGTGGCAAAGAAGGAGCGGTAGCTCGAAACTATTGTCACTCGGCAGCATCGAGCTGAAGAGCAAGGCTCCACCTTTGCCCCTGGTGGTTTCTAACAGCATACACACTCCTAGAGTAAAATGGGACATACGTGACGCTTTGACACCATTTTTTTCATTTCATGCTTTTTTTAGCAAACCGTTCACTTAGGAAAACTGTGCTTTCCATATTTGTAACTCATATCTTGTACATTTGAACCTCTGTCTAACAAACCCAGATTTAACGAAATTTGCGATGTAACGCAATTTTGTCCTTCCATCGAAGACCCTGTATTTTTTCTCTCAATTTAGCGACATCAGTTTGCACCGCAATTTCAATTTAACGAAGTCTTTGCGCGTCGCCTATGGACATTTCGGCAGCCTCCACCAGAAAAAACAAAGTGTTTGACAGAAGTTTTCTTGCCCGAAAATGAAACATAAAAACGTAAAGCCTTTATTGGTTTAAAAATTAAAAAAACAATACCGGTGATAATGACAGCTTGCATTAAAGAAAAATTTGCCCGCCATAATGCATCAAGAACGAAGCAACTCCGCAACTCTGCAGTTGACGTGCGTTCAGTTGTCCACGCTGTCTACTACGTTTGCGGCAATAAGGATCTTTTAG